TACCCCATAAATATGTACAATTATTACATGCCAATTTAAAAATAATTTTTAAAAAACTCCAAAAACAAAATAGCTAAAAGACTTTTACTTTAAACATAAGCTGTACAGTTAAATGACAATTCAATAAGTTGTCATAAATTATTCCTACTGGAAAATATTAGATAAGCAGCAGTTTAGTGTCTCCTTGTGATCAGGCTGACCTGCAACTGCAGTCTTGCTCTGCAGTCACTCTCCTATTGCAATAAGGAAAATGTACGTTCCTTTCAAAAACACAAATCTCTAGCAGCTGCGGGTAAGCTCCCTGGAAAAAGCCTGTCCATAAAGATGTTGAGCCAATTATAAATTACGAAAATGTGAAATATAAGGAAAAATATATTTTGTGTAAAACTGTTTCCCTACTCTAAATTCCTTGTTAATGTTCTTTTCCCTTCCTTCTTTTTTTAAAGCCAGCGCTTGCTAAGACTTTTGCCCTGGAAATAGACTGAAATAAATAGCTTGTAGGTTATTTATTTACATTTATTTAAAAGAATTCTCTGTTTTTACTTTCAGTTTCAGTTCACATTTTTTGGTTTCCCTTTTAATGAAAGAGAACCACGTAAGATCTACAGGCAAGAAATTATTAACTACCTTTTCCTGACATAGAATTTACTTTTTTTTTTTTTCTCTGTCCTTTTCCGTGTCCGGCAACGGATCGCAACCCTCAGTGTCGCCCCCGTACCGGACCGGACCAGCAACGGGATCGCAACCCTCGGCGTTGCCCCCACGCCTCGCTCAGCTAGTGAGCGGGAACCGGTCTGTATGTGGGATCCGAACCCTCGGCGGGAAGAATTTACTTTTTTAAGTGTAGACTTAATCGGGGTGTGCTAACACATCACTCATTATTTTATTATTTTACTGAAGTTTGAAAATTACAGTCTGTGTACTTCCTGGAAGGACACACCAAGTTTGTTATCACCTCTGACTTCCCATGGAAGACAGATTGGAAGAAAGTTGTCTGTTATTTATTTATTTATTTATTTTCCTCTTTCTCTCTCTCTCTCTTTTTTTTTTTTTTCCGGTCTGAGAAATAATCACAAATAGGTATGCTGGATTTTATACCTTTTGTTATATCCTTTGTTCTGCCTATTTTATTGGTTGTTCTAGGTTAGGAATTTTTCTTGTTTTCTTACTCTGTGTATATGGGTATGCATGTGTATGGACATATGTATGTATATGTGTGTACGTGTGTATATGTGCATATGTGTGTATATACATGGGTGTATGTAGATAAGATATGTGTGTATGTAAATATGGAACATATATGTGTATGAGGGGTCTTCAAAAAGCTAATGGAATGACTCATAATGTCTTTTAACTCTGCTTTTCCATGAACTTTTTGAAGTCCCCTCTCATATGTGGGGCAGTGAAAGATCATGATGAGTGAGGAAGACAGAGGGAAGTATGCTCTTTAAATTTAAATATGGTAACAGAAATACATTCCTAGAAAGAGAATCTTGAAAACAAAAAATGAAAGAATGCTTAATACATACTAAACCTACTGTTTTTCAAATGCCTTACTACTTAATAAGGTACTTTTGGCATTTAAAATATTTGATGTATTTATATCTGGCTATAAGTTTAGTATTTTGTCTCTTTTATAACATTAGCCAATGAAGAACTTATTAAAGAGCCTCTTTATTGATTCTTCCCTTTCTTGCTAGACTCTGTGCTATGGGAATACAGGGGATATATGTTCCTGCCTTCAAGGTACTTAAAAGTTGTTGGAGACATAATCCAGCTAATAAGTGCAAGCACTTACCAAATGCCAGGGACTGGGCCAACTGCATTACATGAATTATCTAATCCTTCACCGCCCTGTGAGATAGATAAAACTCCCCAAGCCACACAGCTGTAAGCTATCAGGGGAGCCTTGGTGCTGGCCCAGCCCGTCCACCTCCAGCCTTTGCCTTCCACACTGTGACCTGCAGTTCCCACAGAACCCATGTGGCAGCCTGATTGCCTTTTCTCCTTTGCTTTATATAACATGGGGATATTGGTCAAGGCACTGAAGCTTCATAACCTGTGCAAATTCCACTTGACTGGTAATCACTTCTGAAAAACTGGTGTGCATGAATTCAGTGGGTGACCGTGACTCTGTGCCCAACAGGGAGGGAGCAGGCCAGATGACCTCAGAGTTCCTTCCAGCTCCAAGGCTTTCCTGGATGTGGCATTTTGTTCTTTCGTCTGCCTCTTAATATTTTAACTCTGCTGAAAATTCTAAATATGTCATGCTTTCTTTGTTGAAATTTACATTAAGAAGATGAAACAGGAATGATAATAGGGTTTTGTTGCTGACTTTTTAAAATTACTTCAACTTGGTAAACTTTTATCAAGCACTTATTCTATCCCAAGCATTGCACAACTGACATCGCAAAACCATTCTATGAACATGGCACCCGTCTTTGATATGCATCCTCATTTATAAACCCGATTACTTTCTCTCTTTTCCTTATTATCTCTTTTTTGTTTATGATGAAGTGAAAACTGCAGTGAATTGCGAAGACTCAATGAAGTACTTCAGAATTTAGCTGTGATTAGCTAGTCATGAATTTTTCAGGTTTTCACTTTGGGACTTTATTTGCTTTGGATGTTATATCCATTCCTTTGCCAAAAGTTTATAGTGACTTGAGGAAAACCCTCCCTCCATACACAGAGTAATTGTGGAGGAATTTATAGTTCTACCTGTTTATCCTATAATTGCCTCCCATGAGGCAGGAGCCGTGGGAACCTGACACTAGAACACTGTGAAATACCCGCATTCTAACTTTTCTAGGTAGAATAGCTAATGTATAAGTTTTGTGCTAAACCAGGAGCTCTGTTATATTACAATTCCAATCTGGGCCAGCAGTCACAAGTGACAGAGTTGGGGTCGGGGGATGGGATAAATCAATTCTGCCAGCTGGGAAGAGACCCTTTTCTGAGAACTACTGCACCAGAGCCTGGGGAGTAGTTGTGAGGGTCTGAGCTATGTCTGGTGTCGTGTTGTGAAGACTCTGAAGACTCTGCAACAGAGGGATCCTTTTCCTGGGTTTTTATGAATCTTTCCCAGTGTCCTAGAAAACAAGAGGAACAAAGTAATATACAGCTTTTCCTCTAGCCCTTTACATAGAAGTTTGAATTCTCTCTGCACATGTGAGTTTAGAATTCCCATGTCTTTCCCTCATTCTAGGACCAGGGGGGTACATTTCCCCTTTTGCTCCCCTTGGGTCTTATGTCTTTTCAGAAGATGCCAGTGCATTTCAATACTGGTCCTGTTCACTTCTTCCCTTTACCTCTGTAAGGGAGCTTTAGAGCAACCATCTTCCTTCTTTCAAATCATTTATAAATTATCTTTTCCCTCAGATAACCCAAATATCTCATCAAAATCTTGGAGGGCCACAGAAATATATTATCACATGAACTTGTATCTCTCCATTCTTAATATTTGGATAAGTTTTTATTAAGCTCTGAACCTATAAGATGAGTCATATAACTCCGTGTGTGGTCATTGATAATTATTTTTGATATTCTCTTTATTGTCAATCCTATTAATTTTTTAAACCCAGTGGTATACTTTCTTTATACAGTATTCTCTAAAATTCACATACCAGGGTACTTCAAAAAGTTCATGGCAAAATAGAATTAGAAGAGAATATGAATCTTTCCATGAACTTCTTAAAGATCCCTCATAGATCAGTTATTACTCTTTTGTATATTGTTACAAAATACTTCTATTCTTTAAAGTTTTCTACTTATCAAATTTGATCAATGTTCCTTTTATAGGGAATATGTTTTTATACATTTTAAAATATACTTGCACTTTATTTTGTACTATGAAGCTGATGTAGAACGTAGGGAGTTATAATAAGCAGACTGTTTTAAAGTGTAGATTTTGAGAGAGCATAAAGGTTGGTTAGGTAGAGAACTGACTGCACTTCTTACTGAATTCTTGAATGGTGTGTGTGATAATCATTACTCTTCTAGAGAGGAAATAAAACCGGAATGACCCAACAGCATGAAGAGCAAGCAGGATGAAATGGGAGTTGACTGAGAAAAGGAACTTTAGCCTAAACTTTTTAAGCCCACGTGTTAAATGCTAGCAGTGGGCTGGAGAGGGCTCTTTAAGCTGACGTGAAGTCTATTTAAGTATTTAAGAAATTATTTTAGTGAAACATGATATGACTTATTGATGAGAGTACATGACTGAGGCTGTGAAACTTATTTCTTAATTTCATATGCTTTAAATCATAAAAGTGTAGAATTCGTATTGGAGAAAAAGAACCCAAGGGTTGGTCCTCTACTCCGTCCCCCTGGAGTCCCAGTAAAATTAAATGACTTGCTCAGGACCCAGCAATTATTGACCGAGCCTACATATTTAACACAACACTCTTAATTTAGTTTTCTTTTCGTTTAAAAATAGATGTTGTCTGTGCCACAGGTATGTTCTTAGGTTATACTTAGAATATAATATAAAATTTCAAAATATTTTTGAATAGAAAATTTGTAATTTATGTTTATAAGGCTTTTATGGTGTTTTAACTTTTTCTTATCAAATGTGTTCACCAGTCGGGGCCAGCTCGGTGGCGCACTGGATAGTGCGCCGCTTGGGAAGCGCGGCGGCGCTCCCGCCGAGGGTTTGGATCCCACATACAGACTGGTTCCCGCTCACTGGTTGAGCGAGGTGCGGGCGCAACACCGCGGGTTGCGATCCCGTGGCTGGTCCCGGTCCGGTACGGGCACGACACTGAGGGTTGCGATCTGTTGCCGGACACGAAAAAAGACAAAAAGGAAAAAAAAATTATTGACTTATTGAATTGTGTAGCACCTATTTTTTTCTCTTACTAAATGTACTTGTAACAGTACCATGGTGCATAAAATCTGACTTAACTTTGAGGTTTTTTTATTATTGTTTTTGGTTTTTTTTTCTTAATTTTCTTTTTTGGTTCTTATTACTAAAAATATATATTATTTTGTATTTGCAGCTGGTTTTAGAAGAAGTTTTCGTCTCAGTAGAAAAGATAAGAAAACAAATAAATCCATGTATGAATGCAAGAAGAGTGATCAATATGATACAGCCGACGTACCCACCTATGAAGAAGTGACACCATATCGACGACAAACTAATGAGAAATACAGACTCGTTGTCTTGGTTGGTAAGTGTATGCTTTTGTGTGTAATTCTGAGCAAATAAGTAAAGTAGTAAGAATTTAACTTCAAAGCACATCATACTTGGAGTTTTCAAGCTAAAAATCCCCTCATCTTGAACGCTTTTTGTCTGGTCTCCAGAATGAAATCTTTAGTCATTTGTAGTTTGTGATACTCAGAGACATTTAAGAATCATATTGGCATTTTAGTGGAACCTCTGTAGGAGAGAGTATAACAAAAAGCACTGCAATGTGTTAAGCATAACAGGGTTTCTTAATCTGTTTTGTGTTGCTGTAACAGAATACCTGAGACTGAGTAATTTATCAACAATAGGAATTTATTTGGCTTGTGGTTCTGGAGGCTGGGAAGTCCAAGAGCATGGTGCTGGCATCTGGTGAGGGCTTTCGTGCTATGTCATCCCATGGCAGAAAGCAGAAAAGCAAGAGAGCATGAGGGGCCCAAATTTGCTTTTCTAACAAGCCCACTGTCAGATAACTAACCCGCTTTCATGATAACAGTATTAATCTATTCATGAGGGCAGAGCCCTCAAGACCTAAGGCTTCTTATTAGGCCCCACCTCCCACTGTTGCATTGGGTATTAAGTTTCTGACACATGAATTTTGGGGGACACATTCAAGCCATAGCATAAGACAACTAAATAATAGAAATGAATTTTTAAAAAATATAATGCAGATTCCTTTCGATTCATTTTGAGGCAGCAGCGTGGTATAAGCTTCCTACGACATTTGTACCTTTAGCGAAATAAACTATTACAACAGCGTTCTGGGATATTTAAAACTGGAAAGTCAGTTAACAAAACTGCTTTAAAGTGGTTAGTATATAAATGCGGGGTGTTTCCACAAATGTTGGTTGGTTTGACTCATATTAACTTTCTAGCTTGTATCTCGTGCAACCTTCACAAACGTGAGCAGTTAGAAGCTCACGTTGTTTCTTTAAAAATGTGATGAGAGGTACATAAGCTCCCAGGGTCAAAGCCAATGACTTGGGGAAAGTTTTGGAATAGAGGAGCATGGTGTCTCTTGTTCACCAGTTCTTTTATAAACTCAAGATGACAGTTATGGGGACAAGAATAAAGAGAAAAGCTATAGAATCACCCTGTCTTAGTAAGATCAGATCCTTTGAAAGGTTACAACACGTGCTGTTAACTCAAACACGTGGTGAGTGATGCATGGGAAATGACACAGTTTCTCACATGTAATGGCACTGGAAGTGATCATTAGCATCATTAGATATTGACATTATTGGCATTGTTTGGAAATACATATTCCTATACTTCAGAGGAATTCACAGTTTTCTTCATTAGTAACATCCACATCTCCTAATCCATGTATACGGATCCTCCCCAAACCACACCTGGGAGACTATTTTCATAGTTTTTATGTTTCCCATAGAGCTTATAGTGTCTCAGCTTCCAGGCCTCATAGAGTTGCACTGATGAGAGTACAAGCATTCCCCGGGTGGTCAGAAATAAATCCTATTGTCCTGCATTGTGGCTACTTGAGATTTATAGTGTCTCAGCTTCCAGGCCTCATAGAGTTGCACTGATGAGAATACAAGCATTCCCCGGGTGGTCAGAAATAAATCCTATTGTCCTGCATTGTGGCTACTTGAGACCTCCTGGTTGTCTCCTGCCCTGTTGTGCCTATCGTGCCTCCTTTCTTAGCAACACAGATCTCAGCAGCATTGCCCCCATCCCCAGTGCCCCTTCTCCGCCAAGGAGAGAGCCGCATTGTAATAAAAGGGCAACGATGGTGTGATTTCCCACTTCCCCCGACATCCAGGTGACTCTCCCTGTCGCCAGGGGGTTATTATTATGACTCTGTAACTTTGAGCTTTCCCTAGGGGATCTAATTGAAAGAGGAAGGTAGAATCAGCTATGGGAGCTAACCATAAAAACTCTTCCCTCGGGATGAGGAAAGGAAGACAGGCAAGGATAAACTATGAGTCTGAGTCGTCACCCAGGGAAGAATAAAGGAAAATCATAGTCAGAAGCAGCTAAAGATGGTTGATAGTTATGGAGAAGAAATAGTTAAACCCCTTTCATAGTTTCTATTTATCTGTTAAGGACTTTACTTTTCCATCTATTTCAGGTGTGTTTACCTTTACCTCCTGAAGCTTAGTTAGGATGGATGCTTTGTCGTTTGAGATAATTCTAACATCCCACTGCCTTGGGTGTCTTGGGATTGGATCTGTTGATTGTGATTTTCCTTGAGTATTGGTCACCTCTCCTTGTTCTTTATATGTCTCACAATTTTGTTCTGTATACTGGACATTTTGAACATTATATTGTATAGATTTAAGGGTGTTATACTCCTCTAGAAAATGTTAAGTTTTTTAGTAGACTATCATGCATGTGATACTGGGGTTGGCCAGAGACTTATGCAGGGGTTTAAATCTTAGTTCATTTCCCAGAGCCTTTCTTATGCTGCTCTGGATTCATCGCACCCGTGCACAGCCTAGGGATGAGCCCAAAACTTTGGTGAGGTCTCACCCACTCTGGCCACTCCTCCACTGTGTGGCTCTGTGACAGGGACTCATCCTCTGGGCAAAGACCAAGAAGAGACAGAAAAATAAAATGGGAAACTTCATTCCCTTGGGGGCCACCTCTCCAGATTTGACTCCCGTCCACACTCTGCCTGCTTTTGTTTGCTTTTCAGAGTGCTCAGATGGTTGCTTTTTATAGTGTCCAGAGGGTGTAGTTGTATTCAGTGGGGAGATAGGCTCTAGTGGGCTTTCTTCACCCTAGTGGAGCTGGAACTCTTCAAGTTTTCAGCTTCTCTCACAGGTGAAACTTGGCCTCTCCTCATTAATGTACCTTAATCAGCCTCCTCAAAATTGGGAAATTAACCCCAGCTCTCATGTGTTCTAGTCAGAGTTTCAAAGCATCATCAGGACAGAAGAATATGACAGCATCATCCCAACTACGTTTTGAGGTAAAATAATGCTCCCAGAAGTACGAGTATGTATCACAATACTCCATCCTCAGCCACGAACCATAGAGTGATCTGAGGCATTTTGGCTTCTGTTCTGTATAATGCTGGTTGTTTACAGCTACGATTGTTGAACTAAAAATCATCTGGCCAAAATCTTCAGTAAACAGGTTAATTTAATTGTATGCACCTCAGTTGTCTTGTCTCCCCTTTGACCTTTGGGGTCCTGGCAGTTGAATTCTGAACTAAATATGGACTCTGTTTATGGTCCAGGTGCCTTACTTTGCTAACACAAATTTCCCTTCCTCTTCTCACTATCTGTTTACATTTTCAACAGGATCCTAAAGCTTTCTTTGTTAGCCCCATAATGTCAATCCCACTGCAGTGACTGCTCTTTCTCTATCTCCTGTTTAGAATTCCTTGGGTTTCTAAGTCCTGATTCTCAGAGGAGATTTCCCCTTTATTTCCCAATAGGAGAATTGCCCTCAAGATATTCCTAAACTAGAGATGCTAAATGTTGATGCTTCTAAGTGGTCCGGTTAGTGAAGATCATATTTCCTTTGCCATGTGCTTCTGCCCTGCTAGTGTTTCCTCATTTGGAGTTTTCTGAGCCTTCAGCAAATAATTAATTGCATTACTTCAATGGCAACAAAGTGTCTCTTGTTTCTCTACTACTTAGGTCTCTCTACTAGTAAGCTCTCTATCATGTTACCCTAACCTCTGCTCTTCCCAACTCTTCAGTCTCAACTGAGTTAAATTTTAACTTGTTTCTCAAGTGGGTCCTATGCTTCTCTGTGCTGGGTAATAACAGTAGTTCAAGGCTACGCATATATTAATTATTTCCTTCAGTCCTCATCATGACGATGGGTTAGATACTTTCATTATCCCCATTTTACAGATGAAGAAACATTGCAACACAGAAGTAAGGAACTTGTCCAAGATCCTGAAGCTACTAACTTGTGGAGCTGATTCAGACCCAGGCAGGTGGAGACCAGAACCCTCTTTCTTATCTCGCTGTGGAATAGGGCTTACAATCTATGAAACTGGGGCTGTGCTGACACTCTGTGCTGGATCGAAGTATTACCTCACTTTCCTTTTTTCTCTTTGATTTAGGGCCCATTCATTCATTTTCTTGACAAATATCTTCTCATTTTGTGAAAGTTTAGATCGAAGTCTACAAAAAGCATCCATTGTTTACCTGGATCCTGCCCACCTCCAGTACATTGTGTCAGATGCTTCTGCCATAGGCCTCCCTCGTTCAGTTCAGCAGCCCTGCTGGACTCGCCTCTCTCTTCCCTACACATTAGTTCTACACGCTGCCTAGGCATGGTTCCTATTGTACACGTCATTACTGCTTCACTGTTTCTCTCCTTATAATTCACCAATGGATTCCTAAGCATTCTAGGCTGATACTCCTGGTCTTTCCCTCCCAAATCTGTTCACATTTTCCGCAGCCACCTGGGATAATTCTCCCTGTCACCAGGAAAGGTTCTGTGCTTGATCTGTTGGCTCTGTCTTCAAAGTTCAGAGATTGCATCTCTCAGTAGTTTTTGGATAGACGGAGGCAGCGTTGGAGAATATGCGCAGGGAGGAGCCCCTACCCTTCCCCTCTGACTTCCAGCCCGCGGAGGTCCAGGGTTTCTCCAACCTTAACATGCATTCCTATCACCTGGTGATCTAGTTAAGATGCAGTTTCTGATGCGGGAGCCTGGGGCAGGGCCAGAGAGCAGCATTTCTAACAAGTTTCCAGATGACATTGATGCTGCTGGCTTGACTGATTAGGGAGTGCATTTTGCTTTTCACCTCTGGCTGCTGATTATGATGCAGATGTTGTAAGGTGCTAGCACTGTGCACACAGGGAGAAGCTTGTTTGAATGGGTTCTGTTGCCGTTTCTTTCTTTGGTTGGTGGTTGTGAACTGGCTGCAATTTATTTTGATTTTCTTGACATCACATTTCAGTTGGTGCTTTCTCATGCATGCATTGTAATGATGGTTTAAAAACATTTGGCTTTGTCTTAATCTGCTCTTCAGGATTTGTTCAGTCATATTTTATACTG